ACCTGGTCCACTTGCCTTTTTTTTTTTTTTTAATCCATGGTAAATTTCACACCTTTACTGAAATTAATACTCTTGCCCTGGTCAAGTATGTAGTCTTGCTATGTCCTGTCACATTTCTTTGACTCTTCTAAACACTTAAGAATCCAGTAATTACTTAAGGGATGCTTTTAAAATGAATTTAAACTCAGTGGCATAACCTAGATGATTAAAAAGGATAAAGGTTTGGCAATTAAACTATAGCACCTACGGTTAGCCTGTTATTCCTGTTCTTATATACTGAGTACCAGTGAATGCTTTACTCTTAGCACATTTCATCATTTTTGTTTTACATAAAATTAGATGAATGTGAAAACCAGTGTTCTATTTTATATGTCATTGAGCTTGTAAAATGCCAGTAATTTAGAGGTTAGGGAATCCCTCTCCCCCTTGAAGAGGTAGAATTATTAACGCAAGGGTCACTTATGGTAGATTTTGTTTTCAATATTTGGGTAGTAGAAAAAGGTTCTCCCATGGAGAAAAACTAGCAGGCATCACAAATTTTTCCAAACATTGGGGAGGAGGAAATTTATTATGAAACCCTACGGGTTTGTTGCACTTTTCCTGTTTTAGGCCTAGATAGCCATATCACCATCCTTATTTGCAAAAGGGCAAACTGGTTGATCAAAAGAAGCTTTATATAGACTCAAAGGTTTTTCCATGTAAGACATGAACCACTTAGGGTCCCCTGCTTTCCATGGGAATTTGGCTGTTTATTGTGCTAATATAAAAATGTCATATAATTAGTTTGATTTTTGAAGATGGTAAACTTAATTGCATGTTTTGAAATGCAGATTTATTTAGAATGTTTTTCTTTTAAAACAGGCTTGTTTTATATTTGTTCTTTTTTTTTTTTCCTTTTCCTGATTGAAATTACAGCTCCTTTTTAAAATTATTGTTTCAGTTATTTTTCTGGTTTAAATTTCCCTTATATTTCCACTTGTAATGTCAGTGGCAATAACATCATACTTCACTTGTTAATTTACTTTTTACCCTATTATAAGAGCAAGTTGAGTTGAACCAAATCTTCCTTGTCCTAGTAACATTGTATAAAATAGTGGCTTCTCTGTACAAAAGGTTGTAATGCCTCCTGATGGATATAATTTTGTGATTGTATTTAAGATTAAAAGTTGAATAAATCACACCAGCTTCCTGAAAATGTTCATAATGCATCTTTTGGAAAACAGAACTACATGCCTACCTTGTGCATATTTGCATTAACATGGCAAAGATTGTATGAAATACCTGTTTTTCAAAAAAATAAAGGTTCAGTCTCAAAAGTAGCATTTAAGCTTTGAATTTATTGAACTAGCTTCTAGAAAACTTAATTTCAGAACCTAGGTAGTAGCTTTTTTAAAAAAGCATTAATTAAGACCTCCAAAAACATTTTAAATACTTCAATATGTAATTATTTTGCTCTCAAAGTTTCATTGTATTTTTGAACAGCCCTACAAATTTTACTTCAGTGTTAAAGTTCTTAATAAATATTAAGGCTCAATTTATTAAACTTAATTTTGACAGTATTTTAGAAACAGAACTCCCACTGACCATCATTGACAAGATACTTGCATCCTCTGGGGGTACAAAAACTCTGAAAGAAAGTAGAAAATGCCCAGCTTGTTTTATTATCTTGAAGACTGCATTTGTTGGCTAGATTAAGGTAGGATTTATGTTAACTGCGTAGTCATCTGGCACATTGCAGAAGATCACATCCTGTGTTTGTAAGACAAAAAACCTGAAAGAGCTACATCAGGGTAGGCTAATTAAAGTTTAGTGAGACTATAGTAGTATTCTTTGGCTATAAAATTTAAACACATTCCATGAAAACAGACCCGTGTGGGTAGTTGCTGCACAAGTTGCTTTTTTTTTTTTTTTTTGTCCACTTCAGTTTCACAAGCTGGTGTTCTTAGTTGTACATAGGGAACTTGGGTGAAAGTCAGAAGCATTCTGTAACAAAGTGGTTTCCTAAGGTGGAATTAGCAGCTTTTAAAGCCTGGAGAGAACCCCACTACCTTTCAGAATGTAGCTGTGTCTAGAAAGATAAAGCACTCAGTGCTTGACACCTAGGATGTTTGTGGCTGTTGGTCCCCTGGGTCCTTTGCCCTCGTCGTTTTCTTTTAGGGAGGCCTGCTCCTCAAACTCCGCAACTTTAAAATCTCTCCAAATGGCCTGTACTACCTGTTCTTCTTTTAGCAGTCTCTCAAAAGGAGTTTTATTATATAACCTCCTTTCCAAAGGTGTTCTTTCTCAAACGTTCTACCTGGTCCACTTGCCTTTTTTTTTTTTTTTTTAATCCATGGTAAATTTCACACCTTTACTGAAATTAATACTCTTGCCCTGGTCAAGTATGTAGTCTTGCTATGTCCTGTCACATTTCTTTGACTCTTCTAAACACTTAAGAATCCAGTAATTACTTAAGGGATGCTTTTAAAATGAATTTAAACTCAGTGGCATAACCTAGATGATTAAAAAGGATAAAGGTTTGGCAATTAAACAACTTACCTGAAAGAAAGCATCTGCTATCGTGATTTTGTTGGTACTGAATAATGAAAAAAACCCATGCTAATGCATGTTTAAAAGATGGGGAAGTATCGGGACCAACAGTTGTCGTAATGGCTATGTCGCTGGACTCCCGTACAGTTGACTGTGGTTCGAGTCCTGGACCCAGTGGCTTGAACTCAGGCTGGGCACGCGTGCGTGCCCAAGATCCCGAGAGGAAAATGGAGAAGGGATTGCGGCGTGGCCATCCCCCGTGGGGGATATTTTCTCACTTGCTGTCTCTTTCTGGCAAGTCCATCGCCCTATTACAAAAATCTAAAAAAGAAAAAAAAGTGTCTCAGCATAGTTCATTTAGCTCCTACATTGTTCATGAGAGTTTGTATCTTAGCGTGATCTGTAATGTATGGTCTTGTTAAACCTTTTTGTAAGACCTTGTAGTTTAAGAAGTAACTGAAAGACCTCACAAATTTCCGTAAAGACCCCGTGGATAAGTCACTTTGATTCGTTGGTGCATTTTTCACACGTTTCAGATTATGTTCGGTTCTCCCCCCACGCACTCCCGCCAAGCCAAAGCTGCCTTCCTACAGTCAGGAGAGGAGCATGCTGCAAAATCTGCATGAATAGCTTTCACTTGTTCTCAGAACCTCGTGAGGTGGCACGAGTCCCAAACCTGGACTAAACTGCTGGGAGGTCTGGCTAGGGCGGCGGGCAGTGGGAGGGCGAGCGTCCCGGCCGGCCTCCCCGACCATCGAGGTTAAGTGTCACACGCCCATCTCCGCCATCCTAGTAAACGCCTTCGAGTACTCAATTCTCCAGAGAGGTTTCTTTGGTGCTTTAAGATCCAGCAGAATTCTAGCTCCCAAAGTTGCCTGCCCTGGGAAGACCCAAACAGCCGAGGCAGAACAGATTTCCCAAGCCCTGGGCGTGGCGCCGCAAATCTCCCGGGCGCCGAATGGTCACTCGGTGTCCCCGCCCCTGGCCAGTGCGGCTGCTATTCCTCTGACCTCGATTTCAAGCCATGCGCTGGACGGCAGTTGGTCCAGCTCTTCTGGGGCCTCAGCGCGATCCACCCAATGAGGAGCGAGCATCGCGAGGGCTGTCGGGAAACGCGGCCGGCGTATATAAGCGGCCTGCGGGGCGTTCCCTAGCGTTGGGGTTGCCGAGGGGGTGTCTGGAAACGTTGGTTTGGTGAGTGGCCTGCGCTCGCTGAGGCGGCACGTCAGAGACCATGGCGGAGGGAGATAATCGTAGCACCAACCTGCTGGTGAGTCCCGGCGGCTTGTCCTGGGAAGCTGAGCGAGGCTTCCGGACCTCGGCGGGGAGGCCGTCGCGGCCTCGCTCCTATCAACTCGCGGTGGGCCCGGCCCTCTCCTGGTCCCGAGGGCAATCGATAACGCCTGCCCCTCGGCTCCTTGGGTGGCACCTGAGTCACAAGTCGTGTGAACCCCTAACAACCCCTGAGGATAGCGCGCGACGGAGCAAGGAGGGCGCGTGATTCGTCGTCGCGAAATAGGGGTTGAGAAGGAAGTGGGAGAAAGGGGGGGGGCGGTTTGTTTAGAAGCCCGGGGTGAAGTCTCCAGTGCTTTCTGGCAGGCCTTTACTATAGCCGTCTCTTTGATCTTAACCTGAATGTGCGTTCATCCTTTTTCCAAAAATCTTGGCCACTGGTGGAGGGTCAAAGGATTGCTGCTGAGAATTTGTGTTAAGAGTTGGCTCAACTTCAAACGGCAGGGAGCCTAGGAGTTCACTGCAGAGAATTAACTGGAAGTGGGGTTCAGTTGGAAGGACCTTGGGAAGTCTGACGCTTGTCTGGAATTTGGAAGTCGAGGGGTCACAGGGTGACTGGAAACACCTTTAGAATAACCAGAAAAGCACTGCATTGAGATATATTGGGATTTAATTTCTTCCGAGTTTTACTGCACCATGTAGACAAAAACGAAAGGGATATCCTTGCATTGTCTTCATTGTCATTACCCAGGAAAAAGCAGGTCACACACCAGGAATGAAAAGAACCACCATAGAAATTAACTTCTGAATTTCTAAGAGCCCAGATGCTGACAAATTAGGTATCTTCACAGGGCAATGTGGATTGTGCATGATTTTTCACTTTTTAGAAGTACATTGTTTGGTCCCTTAAAACATGTACATACACACACACACACACACACACACACACACACACACACGATGTTCCTGTAGTTAGCATAGTTAGCCCCGAGGTTGGCTTTTCTTAAGAGGATTAATTGAGGCACAAAGAAATTGCTCAAATTCTATTGAAAGGACAGATCTTGGCCTAGAACTCTACATTCCCCACCCAACTACTCTTTCTAGTCTGTCAGTATAACTTTACTATGAAGAACAAAGCCTTTAGTCTGGGATTAACTAGATTCAAATCTGCCTCTCTGTGTGTGTGTCAGTTTCCTCATCTGTACAGTTGGGATAGTAACAACATATTCCTTTTAGATTGCTGGAATAACTGAAGTATAAGCATTATAAGATACTTAGTGGAGTTCCTAGTACATAGTAATCTCTTCTCGAACTAATGTTTAGCATGAAATATGAAATCAGAAATATTGAGGTCACTTGAGTGATTAGGGTAGCACAGATAGCATCTTTTTTTAAAAAGAATTATTTTATTTAACTTTATTTATTTTAATTTGACTAGAGAGGGACAGAGAGAGAGAGGGAAAGTGACAAAGCAAGCCTCCAGGTCCAATACTCAAACCATGGTTGGCCATGTAGGAGTCCAGTGCCCTTAATCATCATGCTACCTGCTGGCCCCGCAGATAGCATCTTGTTTAATTTTATTTATTCATTTATTTATTTTAATTTGACCAGAGAGACACAGAGCGAGAGAGAAAGCAAGAAAGCAAATCACCAAGTCCAGGACTTGAACCATGGTCAACCATGTAGGAGTGTCCAGCACCTTAACCACCATACCACCTGCTGGCCCCACAGAGAGCATCTTAATAAATGGTAATGTCATTTGTGTATTTCCTGGTGATAAGGACACTTGGCTTTTTGTTCTAATTTTATTTTCCTTTACCAAAATCACCCTATGAGCTCTTACCAAAACATTACACATTAGCTCATCATAGAGGTCAACGGATTTGCAGAGAACTTTGAAGTCTAACCACAATGCCCTCATAAGTGATGAACACTGTATTAAGGAGATATATTGAGCTTACAATGCCATATATAACTTGGTGAAAGTAGTTTTCCTTAATTGTGCAATGAATGCCTACATCCATTAAACAAAGAGCTATTTGAGAAATGGAATGTGGTTCAGGAAAAGGCCTTCCTAATGGATTTAGAAATAAGGGCAATGAAATGACAAAAACAACAGGATCACTTCTAACCATCTGAAATGAACAAACTTAAAATGATCTAATTTTATTAATATTCTAGATGGTGCCACATGACTCTTCATGTATGAAGTTGGGAAAGTTAATCATTTTGAGCTGTCTTTCTTTAATTAAAAGAGGAGTCTAATTATCTCTACCATGTGGGATTCTAAGGGTTTTATTATATATGTGAAAAGTAGCCCAGTCTTGGACTTGAAAGTGACCATTATAGGATAGGTTTGTTTGTTTTGTCATTGGTTTCTGTTTTTGGTACCAAAATTGTAGATTTTTTTAAAGAAACTAACACGATGATTTGGTTAAGAGATACCTTACATATTTGGTGCGCTGGTGCATTAGAAGAATTTCACTCTCTATGTGAACCACAAAAATGTGAGAGTGGTAAAATAATTGCTTTAAATGTTGATTATATGTAGGCTGCAGAGACTGCAAGTCTGGAAGAGCAGCTGCAAGGATGGGGAGAAGTGATGCTGATGGCCGATAAAGTCCTCCGATGGGAAAGAGCTTGGTTTCCACCTGCCATCATGGGTGTGGTTTCTTTGGTGTTTCTGTAAGTGAGCTATTAGGTTATTATGGATTGTGCTTGTTCATTAGTAAAGGCTCAGATTATACATAGCCTCCATTTCCAGAAGGGCCTTAAGTCTTTTGTAATATGAAATCTGTAAGGAATTCCTTTTCATACAAGTGCATCACTTATTTCTCAGACTTAATAGTACTTATGTAAACTTGGTAACCTAGTGCAGTTGAATAAATCAGTGGCTCTCAAACTTTTGGGCCTCAAGACCCATTATGCTCCTAAGAAATGCAGAAGACCCTAACTGAGCTTTTGTTTACGATGTATACATTAGCCCTTGCAGGAGTGATGTCATGGTGTATGGAGCCTCTGCAAAACCACATCTGAGGAAATTTTAAAGAAAACAACAAATATTGACTTTGAGAGCCAGAGGACTAAGTGAAATGAAATATCTTCAGTGAGGAATGATAATGACTGTGTTTTTCTAACCTTTATTAATTCTTTTTTTTTTTTTTTTTTTTTAAACAGGATTATCTACTATCTAGATCCATCTGTTCTGTCTGGTGTTTCCTGTTTTGTTATGTTTTTGTGCTTGGCTGACTACCTGGTTCCCATTCTAGCACCTAGAATTTTTGGCTCCAATAAATGGTAGGTGGCAATCAGTTTCTGAGAAGTTACTACCCAGGGATGAGTGTGCTATTGAAGTGTAGACCGTTTAAGCAGCCACCATCTGGGGGTTAGATTTGTGATTTCATCTGGAGAATTTCTTAGCTTATATCTCCATAGTTCTTTTATGTCAACCATTTATTTTGACTTTTTTTTTTTTTTTCCTTCCAGATCTTTTGCCAGAGGGCATGTGCACTTTGGGAGAGAGACAGAGTAAGAGGGAAAGTGAGAAATCACTCCCCGGGAGGGTATAATCATGCTGCAATCCTGGAGTCCACTGTCCTCTTGAGATTTTGGACACACATGTATAAGTGCCTGGTGTGTTTTTCAAGCTCCAGATCTGGGACTCGAACCATCAGGTTGGCCATGGGGGAGCTGGACATGTGAGATCCAGTACCTTAACTACAGTGCCACCCAGAGAAGTCTGTTAACAAGAATTATAGAACTCATAATTACTTTCTATAAAAGTAATATGTTTACATTTTTATATTTCCATTGATACTTAAGATAGTATAGTATTAATTTTACAGATGAATACAAAAACAGTAACTAGTAGATTTTTATACAAATTCATTTAGCAACTGTTTATTAAATATCTAGTATATTAGGTACTATTATAGGTGCTGGTTTTTTGACTAGTTGCTGGTGAGTTCCTAAAATACAGTTCAGTGGCTAAGGCTCATATTAAAAGTATTTTGGCTTCCTTCTGGAATATTGAATTTCTTACCTTTGATCCAAATAATGAACCAAACTAGATGGTGGAATATTTTTTTTCCTTCCATTTGGTATTTTTCCTTGGTTGTTTAGTTTGATTAATATCCTATAGTGCCTTTAATTTATTTCCCACATTATATATTAGATTATAAAATAGTTATATGAAAGTAAGGTTTTTTGGGATTTTTTTTTTTTAAGAGGTTTTTTTTTTTTTTTTTGAGAGGTTTTTGCTATAGGGCGCGTGTGCTCGCCAGACAGAGAGAGACAGAGACACAGAAAGTGAGAAATCACCCCTCAGGGGGTATGGCCACACTGCAATCCCTTTTCCTTCGCACTCCTCTCGGGATCTTGGGCACGCATGCACACGCGCCCAGCGTGAGTTTTAAGCCACCGGGTCCAGGACGCGAACCGCGGTCAACTACATGGGAGTCCAGCGACATAGTTCTCTCGGGATTTGGGGCACACAATGCACATGCACCCAGGGTGAGTTTTAAGTCTCTGGGTCCAGAACTCGAATCACAGTCAGCCATGTGAGAGCCTAGCAATGTAACTACCACGCCATCTGCTGGCCCCCAGATTAAGGATTTTAAATATGTACTATGTGGATCTTCAACAAAAAGTTTTGGGGGAATTTGCTTAAGTTGTGGGATAATAGTGTGTGTGTTTACAGATATTTCCCTCTTAGAATAGATTAGTATTGGGAACCAGCAGTTAGCGTAATGGCTATGTTGCTGGACTCCACTCCCACGTAGTCGACTGCAGTTGGAGTCCCGGACTTAAACTCATGCTGGGCACATGTGCGTGTGTTTGCGTAAGATCCCAAGAAGAGAATGGAGAAGGGATTGCGATGTGGCCATCCTCCCTGGGGGGGTGACTGCTTTGCTTTCTTCCTGGTGAGCGCACGCGCCCTGTACCAAAACCTCTCAAAAAAAAAAAAAACCCTGTCCTTTGGGGCCAGCAGTTGCAGTAATGGCTATGTTGCTGGACTCCCATGTAGTCAGCCGTAGTTCGAGTCCTGGGCCCAGTGGCTTAAACTCACACTGGATGCGTGTGTGTGCGTGCCCAAGATCCCGAGAGGAGAAGGGATTGCGGTTGTGGCCATCACCCTGGGGGAGTGATTTCTCTCTTTCTGGCAAGCGCATGTGCCCTATAGCAAAAACCTCTCTTAAAAAAATAAAAAAAAAGATAAAACACACCAGGCATATGTACATGTATGTTCAAATCCTAAGAGGAGAATGGAGAAGATGGGATAGTGGCCTAGCTATCTCCCCTGGGCGGTGCTTTCTCACTTTCCCTCTCCCCCTCTCTCTCTGGCCAGTGCATGTGACTTGTAGTAATAAAAACAAGAAATAAAAATTATAAAAAAAGCTGTTGTTTTTTTGGGCCTGTTTGTGACCATGTAGTGTGTAACAATTTTTAACAGGGATTCCACCACAGACCTTAGCCAGATGACATTCTAATCTACTAATTCATAACTTGGGGAGGAAAATTCTCAGAAACAAACACCAGTAGTTTCATCGGTAATCAGTATGTGACTCAGTTATCAACAAAATTTGTTTCAGTTTTTTATCTTTTGGGAAAGAAAGAACATTGTGTTGCATAGCTACAATCTAGCCTTGACCATGGCAGCATATAAAGTAATTGTTTACAAGAAGTGCCAGGGCTCAGCAGAAATCCTCTTGCCTTATCTGTCACTACAGACTTATTTTTGGTTTGTTTTTTAATTTTAAAGAATTATATAATTTTATTTATTATTATTTTAATTTGCTATAGGGCACTTGTGTCATGAGCAATGTAGAAAGAGAAAGTAAAAGAGCAAGCTGCCAGGTCCAGGACTTGAACTGCAATCAGCCATGTGAGAGTCCTTCACCTTTAACCACCACGCCACCTACTGGCCCTCTCACTGCAGTTTTACAGGGATGAGGACTTAAGGAGAGAAGGCAGTATATCCTTCTGCATAAACCTGTTAATGTGTAGCACATGCAGTACAAAGACAACTTTTTGTTTGTTTGTTTCTATCAGAACCAAGAAAAATATTATAAAGGGCTTTTTGGGAGAATCTTGGATTTTCACTGTTTATTTTCCTTCACTGGAACTAAATTTATAAAGAATTTGGATTTGAGCTGTGTATTGTTACCTTGGCATCAAGTTTAAGAAGCCCAGCTAGGGGTATTATGCTTTGAAGGCTAGTAGGTATCACTGTACCAAAGAATGCTCAAATACAGCTGTTTGGTGGGACTCTGATAGGGCTCCAGTGCAGGATCCAAAAGAATCTTAATAAAGGAATGGAGAGATAAAGTGTATACCAATTTGTGCATGACCCATAGAAGTCATGAGCCTTTTGCAACTATCATTAACCAAGTGTGACTTCAGAGCCATACATTGCCTTTACTTTAATATATTTAAAATACACACACACTTTTATGTGGAAACTTAACTTCTTTGGACCAGCAGGTGGCATGATAATTAAGGTGCAGACCTCCCATATGGCTGACCACAGTTCAAAGTCCTGGACCCAGGGGCTTGAAAATTATACTGGACACCCATGCATGCATGCCCCAAATCCTGAGGACAATGGAGGAGAAGGGTTGTAGCATGGCCATCTTTCTAGGAGGTGATTTTTCACTTTCTCTCACTCTCTGGTGAGCACATGTGGCCTATGGTAAAAACCTTAAACAAAACTTACTCCTTTACTATAAAAGCTTTTTAATGGTGTGAGAACTTTGTCATCTAGGATAATGGCAAAGCAGTATTCTTTGACTTTCTTTAGAAAATAGCTGTTTTGCATTTAAGAAGACTGTGTGTTTCTGTCTGCTATACAGATTTGCTTACAGCAAAGGAAAAATTCTTTTTCTAGGACCACAGAACAACAGCAAAGATTCCATGAAATCTGCAGCAATCTGGTAAAAACTCGACGCAGAGCTGTGGGCTGGTGGAAACGCCTCTTTACACTAAAGGAAGAAAAGCCTAAAATGGTACCTTTTTGCTTGAATTTGTTTTGGGTCTTGTTTACTGTTTCTTTGAAAAAAAGAGTGAGAGTTAGTTCCCCCAACAAGATTTTGACACTTCAGTCTACCCCAGCTTCAGCCAGCCTGTGATCATGGGTACACACATGAAGAGGGTTTTAATTCACTGTACCATCTGGACCCTTGCTTTGACTTATTTAAGTTCAATAGATTTTTAGGATTAAGTCAGTTTTGACATCATTGTAATGTAACAGTAGCCTGTTTGATTGCTTATCGTTTGATATTTATTATCCATTGGTTTAACTAAGTATATTTGTAAATGTTTATCTTTATTAGCTAGACTGAATTAATTGAAAGTTAAAAGTTTTGTATTTAGTTTTTCTAGTACAGCAGATATTTATTTATTTTCTGTCTGAAATAAAAGTAAAAGACATACTTGGAAAGCTTCTGTTCTCTTACCTACACATGCTATGTTAATTGAGAAAGTAGGGCCAGCTGTGTCACAGTGGTGAGATGCTGTGTAATAGAAGCTGAATCCCACATAGCGACTGCAGTTCACATCCTCAGCCTGGTCAGCCTGGGACATGTCCGGCAGGTGGATAAGGGCCCAAGATCTGACAGTCTGGAGGATGGGAGGAAGGGGGTTGTGATGTGAGCTAATCCTGTGGAGGGTGCTTTTCTCTTTCACCCTCACCTACACAAACATGCTCTCATAAAAGTGTTAAAACATCATTTTTAAGTATAATTTATATTATAAAGTATTTATATATAGAATAACAATAAGATTAGAGAGAAGTATATACAAATTCTAAAGTAGATTCAGTAGAGTTTTCTGTGGGTTTTCTAGAATACGTAGAATTTCTATTTTTTAAAAAAGGTAAGTGGTAAATTGTAAACCTTTGAAGTAAACTCTTTACTTTGACAAAATTTATATTTATGGTGTCCAATATGGTGTTTTCACATGTGTATGTAGTGTGGGGTGGTGAAACATGTCATGTTGCCGAGTTTGTTTCTAGGGGTTGATAAATGTTTGCTGTCTTTGTTTAGTACTTCATGACCATGATTGTTTCTCTTGCTGCGGTTGCTTGGGTGGGACAGCAAGTCCACAACCTCCTTCTCACCTACCTGATAGGTAAGTGTTGTTGTTGTTTTCTTTTTCTTTCTTTTATTATTTTTTTTTCTAAACTGTCAGAAGGTGCATATATTTGCCAGAAATACAGCAAGCAAACACACCTAATGGAACATGGTCACCCCACCACCATTTTCCCTCCATTTCTCTGTCCCATCAGGATTTGGGGCACATGATCACACCTGATGTGTTTTTTCTTTTTCTTTTTTTTTTTTTTTTTTTTTTGGGTTTTTGCAGTGGGGCAAACGCCC